GGAAAAGGAGGCTTTTTTCCGCTATTTTTTTATTTATTTTTATTTCTAAATAAAAAAAATAATGAATTTATTTACAAATAAAACATTTTTTTATTTATAAATAAAAAAGAAAGAAATGTATCTATAAATAAAAATACATTTATTTATAAATGGTATTCAAGAAACGTCTCATTTCCTGAGTACTGTATATAAATAGGGGAACAAAAAACAGAGTATAGGTAGTTTTTTGTTTTTATTTTCTAAACCAAAAATAACTGAAAATTGGTTTCTTATTTTTAAAACGAAAGAGCAGAGCATTATTGCCAATAATCTCAATATAATGATTTCCTAATTAAATGTAGGAGACAGAGATTAAACTTCAGCTATAAACTTTATTTCTTGTCTTTCAGGACGGCGTGATGGTTCTCAGCGCGACTCACCGATACAAAAAGAAGTATGTGACCACTCTCCTCTACAAACCAATATAACCCACAGAGCCACGACTCTTATTCTGAAATAACAATAATAATAATCAGTTTGCTGCTTTGATTGTTAAAACTGGACCTAAAAATCAGTTTTTTACCCTCCTGTAACTTGTAATTTTGTAAATGTTAAACTTTCTGTTTGTCAGTTAATAATTAATTCCAACCGTGACTTTATGTTTTTATATTTTAACCTGATTCGTCGTCAGACTTTTAGTTGATAACGAGACCAAATCTGCCTGAACTCCTCGTTAACCTTTGACCTTTTGACGGTTGAGTTTAAACTGAACTTTTGTATTTGCTCCCATTTTTCAAAATAAAAGACCTTTTATTGTGTAGTCGAGGCACAGCTGGCCATTGATCGTGTTGTTTGGTCAGCGTCTAAAGCTAACGGACTGAGACCACTGAAGGTTTCCGTATGTAAGCGAACAGACACGAGGACGCAGGTTGAAATTCAATTTCTCACATTTTATTAAAAATATTCCTTCTTTTGTTTTTCTTACAAAATCAAAATCAAGTTTTCTTTATTATAAATGAATTAAATTTTAAAGTAATTTGCATCATTCTTTTGTGTGTGTGTGTTTGTGGGTTGTGTACATTGTGTATCTCAGTTGACGCAGCGGACTTTGGGGTCCAGGTTCTTGTTATCCGGGTTGTACGTGGTCTGAGCGAAGCAGTGAGCCGCCACTCGGTCGCACTCGCACACGGCAGCTTGACACTTATTGTTGGAGGCTGCGGAGACAGGAAGTTAACACACTGCTGATCAATAACAACAAAACATGAGCATGTAAAGAGAAATAATACATCTGTAAAACAATAAGAAAATCAATAACTAAATAAAAATGTGGAAATATAAAAGAATAATTTTAAGCATTTCATATTTTGTAGCATACAGACTCGTAGCATATCGTTAGCTCTCTGACTCACTTTCTGGCTCATTTAACTTTTTTTATTAAACTTAAATGAATTTTATTGGTTATTTTTAAAATAAAAATGAATAATTCTCATTCAAAAGCTTTAAAGTCAGTTTAAATGAGTGTTTCACAGCATCATGTAGGTTTAATACACTTTAAATAACTGTGCTAGTTGTTTTAATCTAAAAAATTATCAATATTAATGCAATTATTTTGGCAGATTGAAGATCAATGTGTATAACAGTGAGTTGGTAAGAGTTAAATAAATGTTATAATCAATGTAAATTTAATTAAAACGTTGAGTGTGAGATGTAGAAATTATAAAACTGATGCAGCCTAATTTAAAAATTAAAGTTATGTACAAGTGAACCAAGAAAATTAAGTTAATCTAACAAAGTAATATCAGTATTATTAGTTTACTTAATGTTGTTGGATTCATGTTTAGTGATGTTACAGAGTTCATTCTACTCAATAAAACCATTTAAATTACCTCAAAAAGTCTAACTGACCTCACTTTGTTTAAGTCAGAGAGGCATTACAGTGCAGTGCGGGCTCAGTCTTACCTGAACAGGTGACCTGCTGATTCGAGCAGCTGAAATCATAAACCAGGACGTAAGGAAGGTCGGCGATGGCGGTGCATCCGGGAGCCAGTCTGCTCGCCTTGTAGCATTGATCGTGAACCTTGCAGCACCTGAAAACGGTAAAGGGTTTCACGTTAGAGAAAACGTTTGATAAAATGATTTTAAAAAAACAAAATAGCTGCTCCCTACATGTCCACTCCGTCCACAGGGGTCCCCGTCCCCCCGAAGCCGCACCAGCAGCCGTAATCGTTGTACTTCAAGGGGTTCGTGCCGGGCTGAGCACACGAGATCATCTTACCAAACTGCCATAAGGCTCTGGGCAGCAGCGCACCGCCGGCCGCACAGACTGCAGACACAAACACAAACACAAACACATCAACAACATATAATCCTAAATATAACATTAAAGGGTTATTTTAGGGTTATTTTAAGGTTATTTTAAGGGTTGTTTGTCTCACCAGAGAGCAGCAGCAGCAGCAGAGGAGTTGACACGTTCATGACTGCGGTCAGAAAACCAGGATTTCAGTGTGTCCGTCTTTTATAAAGGAGGAGATAGGACTGAAACTGAAGGGCGGAGACTGAAAATGACATAAGTTTCTATATTTGGAGGAGTTTCATTTACCTCAAACGTGTTTTTAACACCTTCAGTTGTGAGAATGTGGAGTAAAAACATATAATCAGTCTGTAGAGGAGTTAGATTTATGGTTCCTTTAAAAAAAACAAAAAAAAAACAACAGTTATTAAGCAACAGAAACTTCTTAATAAAGAAATTCACATTAATTAACTCAAAACTGAAAGAAACTCAGTTGTTTTGAGTGAACTTAAATGTGTTCAGTATTTTAATTACAGGTGATTTAATTCCAGTTTGTTCCATTAACTAATTTTTTTTAAGTTGACTTTATATAATTATATAAATATAAGCATTATAATGCTGTACAGCTCAGGATTGTTTAATTATAGTTAATATTTATATATCATCATAAACCCCAAGATCTTACATTAATTGGCCTTTTTTAGCTGTTTTGACAGTTTTTTTTTTGTTAATTTAATGGAAGAAAAATTAAACTTAACATTTATATGAATAAAATATATTTAAGTGACTATTCAGATAAATTATGTTCACACGTTTAAATAAGTTTGGAGAAACTTAAATTAACTGAATAGAATTAGTACA